AGCTGGACCAGAGGTAAAAACTGATCAGCCTGAGTGAAACCCTGAGGGTTTGATATTTTAACCCAGTATTTAGACCAAAACGTCCCTCAGGAAGTGTCTTCTGTCTCTAACTCGGGGCTGGGTTCAAGGTGTTGCACATTCTTTTACAAAAAACCACAGACTGGATCTAACAATAAAGTTGTAAATGTTCACCTCCGTCCTCTGAACTGATGGAGTCTGTTTATTCACCATCTCTGCTGGTCTTTCCCTCTGACTCTCTGTCCTCCTGTTAGTATTCACCTCCACTGGTCCACACATCAGTCCAATCTCCAGAGCTGTTTGCTCATTGAGTGATGATAGCCTGTTTAAACATCTGTCCTCACCAGTGTATATACACACACACACACACACACACACCCAGAGATTTCTCTGTTGTGTGATTTAATGTCTTACTATACACTAGAAGCTAGTGTTACTTTGACCAAAGGAAGGCAGGAAGATGTTAGCTAAAGGTCCAAAGAAAAAAAAGGAGGCAATAATATCAGGCCATTTAAATAAAAGACAAAACTTTAGTTAAACTCCAAGTTAGTCAAACTACAGCTGTCAAGACCAGAGGCAAAGTGTACGTGAATTCAGTAGCTATTCAAAAATACATAAATGTTCTAGATAAAGAAATAAGGTTCCTGAAGTTGAAAATAACAACAACATTTTAATAGTTTCCAGGACATTCCAAAAACTCTATAATCACTATCAGTTTTAAGAAAAACCCCAATCATATCTGACGTCTGAAGTTATTTTCTAACTCATTTGAAGTTGAGGATTAAGTTGACCAAAAAAAACCCAAAAACGATCTTTTGATGATTACCTTTAATACCTATCATTTTCAAGCAGCAGCAGTGACTGCAGCTCTGCTCCCAGCATGCCTGATGTTACAATCCTATTCAAATGTCACACGTTGGCTTCTGCTGTTCCTGTAATAGAGGCTCTGACTTTCAGACTCGCTGCCTCATCTCTGCCTCATCTCTGCCTCATCTCTGCCTCTCTGTTCACTTGTCTAGTTCATTTTTGCCTCTTTTGCAGCATGACATTTAAAAAATTGATCATGTGAAAGCCTAAATTTGTTAGAGATTGCTGTGCAGATCAAATCCCTTTGTATTTGAACCTCGTCTGTTTTACATCGTGGCTCCTAATTGTGCAAATCAATGTCTTCATTTTACTGATGGTTCTTTCTTTCAAGTTGTGTTCTTTGACAAGCACACTGGTTCACCGATAAAGACTAGAACCTGATCTTTAATTCAGAACTGTTGTCTCTGGAAGGTGATTTTCCCGAGTGTATAGATTTTGCTGTGAAAAATGTTTTCTGTGCGGCTTATGCACGCATCCAACCATAAATCTCCAGGATTGATTCTATCTGTTTATTCACTCTTCAGTTACAAAGGATTATTAATGTGCTCAACGCAGCACATCAGTAATGTTGCAGTTCAATGTCTTGGCCTTGCTGCTACCTGCAGCCCATAAGCTGACAGAGAGAAAGATTAGGGAGTGATGACTGCAGACACCTTCCCCTGAAGAGCCGGCAGGTTAACTCCGGGGCGGAGGCGCAGCTGATTAAATGCTAAGCAGGAGGCCGCGATGCTTACGCTGAACAATGAAAGAGTAAAGTAGGAAGTGGAAATGTTTATGTAGAGGCTGAGTTGACATGATGTGTAGTGGCTGTGAGAACCACTCAACACTTGAGACTGTTAGCAATCAAGTCCTGGCCTGGTGTCACCGACACATGTAGGAAGAAACAAGCAATGCAAAGCAACAAGCCTCTGTATTTTATAGCTCATTGAAGAGCAATTGTTGGTATTTGAACCACTGAAGAGAAGTAGTTTCACATTCTAAGCTGTGTGAACTGTGAAGCCATGAGGTTGTCCACGTAGACCAGGAGAAGTTGCCTGCCTAAGGTGGCCAGCAGGCTTGGTCCTGTGAAAGACACGTCCATTCAGACAAAACAAACAAACAAAAAAACAAAAAACAAAACAACAGCAACTTGAATAACTTTCCCTAAAAATATCCAGACCTCTGGCACGATAACACATTTAGTCAGATGTGACCATGAACCAGCAGACATGTCTGGACCTGGAGGAACGCTGTCTCGCCCCTGGCAGGGAGCACTGAGATGAGCTGTCCAGGGTCCTGAATCCTTAGTCACAATTGGATGACAACTTCTTAAAGAACCAAAACGTGGCTGTATTTCTTTTGTTTTCCACTTCAATTGGATGACAACTTGTGTTTTAATCTTAAAGAACCAAAACGTGGCTGTATTTCTTTCGTTCCCAAACTCTTCTAGATTTACGTCCTACAAACAGCACATTCTCACCTGACAGAACAATGACTCTTATCAAAGCTTCTGTTTTGCAAAGATTCATTTCTGTTCAAATATAGCATTCAAAGAGATCCTTAGGACTTCTGTATATAAAGACGAAACATTACTGGCTTTATTACGAGAAGATTCAGGTGTTTTTTTATTCCTAGAGAAACTAAATCTATGGAAAGCCATAATTCGAAGTTCCAACACAAGATGCCTACAGTATAAATCCTGCTTGACGACACTCAAATTTGTTGAATTAATTATTTGCCAGGCAGCCTGTAAGCTTTTCCCAGCGAACATAATTTTGTTACTTGCTGAATCAATCTGAGTTAATCTGAGGATCTGATCGGCTGCTGGTCCAGGGAACATATGTTCGCTGCTGGCTGGGTTACGCACCATCCGGATTCTGAGAGAGCGAGAGAGAGAGAATAAGAGGAGAGAGAAAAGGAGAGGAAGAGAGAGTGAGGAAGAGGAGGAATGTGATCCATTGTCTACATCCATTCATTAAAGATATCACTCTCCCTCTTTACACACATACAAATATAGCCGCCTTTGTCACACAGCCCACATCTCAAACACTCTATTTTAACACCCTAATGTATTTATAGTCCCGTGTTAAAGGCCTGTCACCTGACCAAGCAGCCAAGAGAGAGAAAAGAAGAAATCTGCTTTTATTTGGAGGGAGTGTAACCTACAAAAGGCAGAATTCTTAAAAAGAAACCCTTGAAACGACTGTCCCAGGAGAGAAAATGAAAGAGAGAGAGCGAGAGAGAGAGAGGGAGAGCGAGAGAGAGACAAACAGAGAGAGAGAGAGAGAGAGAGAGAGAGCAGTTTGTCTCTGGTATTAACGTTACAAATGTGTCACTGATAGGAACAAGGAAGACAGGAATTGAACCTGCCTTTTTGCCCTGCTCTGAGCACACACACGCACACACACACACACACACACACACACACGCATACATGTTCACATAATTCGAGAAAAAAAACCACAAAGACTTGTGATGGACAAATTCATTCTTTCCTTCCTTTCCTGCTGCCTCGCCGGCAGATGATTGCCCTGTCACGAAGCATCTGTGACAGCAGCAACATAACACCATGAGACACATTCATATGGATGTAGCAAGTTCACGGTCGTATTGGCTTTGTCTGTGCGGTTTCATCTGTTTCTGGCCTTGACTATCAGCCACAGGTACATGCAGTCGTTTGAGTTGATTTTAATGGTCGGCTATATGATACATGGGTGGGTTGCTGAGCTGCGCCCCTCAGCTTGAGGCTCACTGGTCCTCTTTTTGTGTTGTGTTTATATCAGTCCAACGATTAATCTAAAGGAAGTATTGGATACATAACGATTAATCATGATCAGAAGTAATCATGAATAATTATAATTAATCAACCAAGACAATTTTTCTTTTTCTGCCAGAATGGAAGATGATGGTGATGTTGGTGTTTCACAGCTGGGGCTGCATCACTCCGCTACATTTGTATAAAGTGATCAGACATGAATGAAGTGAACTGAATCCCTGAAGAATTTAGAAAACCTCCCACGCAAGGCCATTTCTTTTACACAGCAAATACTTTGTTTTTTTGGGAGGAGAAAGCCCATATTGCAGAGTGTGCAGCCTTCAGTCTCCACTGTTCACTGTTACTGGAGCATTGTCACATATCTCATGATAACTAGCTTGTTAAGAAGACTTTAAGACTGGAAAAAAGTCTGCGAGCTAAACAGATTACTTTTTGTGACTTTGAATCTCACCCATAAAAACCTGTTTGCAGTGAGCTTTATTGCTGACCTTCCTTTATAAAACCAGTCTGTGCAATACACTTTATGGGCTGCTGCCTTGTGTATATTCTGTCAACAAAGGATTTGGAAAAAAAAAGTTTATACACTGAAACAACACTTAAATCTTGGCAAGCGTGCCCTGAATGAAAAAAAAAACTATGCAAAAATAAAATCCATTTTAAACCTGTTGAAAGTGAATTATGAACAGGTTTGGAACGAAACAGCAGAGGAACACAGTGATGTAGTTTAGGGAAAATAATACATGACAGGATGAAGGTGAACAACACAGACGGAACAGGAGCAAAAGTGGGCTGGGAGAAAAGGAGGGGTTGTGGGGAAGTGAGTGAGAGCGCAGAGAGGAAGGGAGGCAGACTAAATCCTCACACTATTATTATCAGGACTCACATGCAGTCCCTCCTGTGATGGAGTGAGAGCAGAGAGAGAGGGGGAGAGAGAAAGAGAAGATGAGTTAAAAAGGACATGGAAAGCAGGATTACCAGTCTGACAGCACTGGCAGATGAACGTCAGCACAACGTTGTGGGAGGGAGAGAAAAGTCTGGTGGAAAAAAAAATCTGTGCAACAGGATGAAGACCTGCTAGTGCATTGGCGGGCGACCCCGCAGACCTGCCATCTGTGCTGCTTTTCTCTCCACGTTCCCTTTGCTCCATCAACCAACATCTGGATCTCCTCACATCCGTATGGATCAGAGAGCGAGGAGGAGCCAACCCCCCTAAAATGTTATTCTCTCCTTACTCTTCTTGATCACACAGGACCAGAGGAGGCGACTCATCGCCAGAGGGGATCCCTCACTGTGGAGTACCATCGTCAACAGCTGACAACTGCACCAGAGGAGGGAAAACTTTTCCTCCAAAGATGCAGAGCCTCGCAGAGGACCAATCCGTAACAGTTTGTGAGATCTCCTAACTTCCTGTGGATTTGTGGAGCCGTCTAGCAGCTACCAGGATCATGGATATGACAGACAGAGGTGGCAGAAAGAAAAGAAAGGAGAAAACGCTGGAGAAAAGACACTGCTGAAGCCTGAAAGGGATTCTGGCTCGTCTGCTAAAGAGGCATTCTATCATTTTCCTCCCCCTTTGGCTCCTCTCATTTTCTGACCAGCGGGGAACCTGAAGGATACAGACGTAGCTAAAGACAGTGGGTTTATGCACATATGCACACACACACCCACACCCACACCCACTCAAATGGCTTGGCAGCTTGTCTCTGGGCTCCTGCACCTCTCTTCTTCTGTCACCCTTTCCCCCACATTTTCCTTTTTAATTCCTTTTTTGGTAACTTGTCTTCACTTTCTTGACCACTTGTAAAAGTGCTCCGCGTGACACCCACTAAAAGGAGAAGTGAGAAAAGGGTGAAGAAAGTGAGGAGGTAAAAAGAGATTTTTAGAGTTGCACACATGCACTCGCTGTCACGTTGTGAATTCCAGCAGGGGAGGGTGCAGACATCCAAAGCTGCCAAACACACACACACACACACACACACAGGCAGATACAGAATCACACACAAGTCCCAAACACTCACAGTCACAACACAGACAAGGACCTGGTCTAAATATTAACCACCACAGGTGCTGAGAGCAAAGAAACACAGGGAGTAGAGAGACAGACACTTGCTAAGACGCAGCTGGGGGTCGATGGAGTGGCATGAGTCTAAGGTGGATGGCAGCATAGAGCGAAGGTAAGTCTGAAACACACACTCAAACAGGTTAACACAACTACTTTGGTCTGGACACTGCCATGACATCCACATGTTATAACACCAGAAAAAGTGTGTTATTAAACAGCACATAGCTTATCTCCCCCTCCTGCAGGGGGTGCTATTTCAAGTACATGACCCACAAAAAAGCCAACTGTACGGCTGTGCACCCAGGGAACTGTTCAGCTGTATTTCACCAATACATTGTGACAGAACTTTAATACCACCATGTACTGATACATCGACTACTACATAATATTTGTACATACTGTACATACTGTATATTGGGTCTCAAAGTCAATAACAACACCACACATGGTTGTAAGTAAGTAAGTAGGTCATTTTAGACACACACGTACAAGCCGTACAGTAGAACTACCTATTAATAGTTCCTGGACATCACCAGTACCATGAAAAAGTGGGTGTTTTCTCTATGCAAAAAGTTCCTCATTAATGAATCTGAAGATACTCTCTGACAGAACTACTATTGTTGTTGTAGTACTACTATTGTTGTCCTGCTACTTCTACTATAGTCTTCCCTAGGTTTTGATATTTTTGAAGCCCAAGTATAGCTTCACCAGGAACACACACATTCTTGCTCACTTTCACTTTTGTCATTCTGTCATTGAACCCCGATCCAGCGAAAAATGGAAATTCATAGGCGTACGTACAGTAAGTGGTGGGGACAGATACAGAGAAATCAATAAAGACAGACTAGATTCCACAAAGGAGACGCTGCGGGGGAAGATGAGTGTTGACACACAGTGTAAGTGCAGTCATTCTTTCAGTTCTCATAAGTGAAGAGTTTTCTCCAGAGATCGCTCCATCTGCTGCTGACAGAAACAGAGCAGCCAGTTGTTATTCTAACAGGAAGTTCTTTGAGAGGAGGTATTAGCATTTTTCACTTTGGCTGTCCTTGCAAAGGTGTGCATTTCAAATGTGTGTCTGTGTGTCTCTACAGTATGTGTGGGCACACACACACACACACAAGTGAAATGAATTCACTCTCTTACTGATTATGGATGTTATAGTTGGATCGTCTTAGCGTCCAATCGGTTTTCTGGTGGCGTCCATTGATTTGTGCCATACGTCTCGTCCAGCAGCTGTAATTCTTCTCCATTAGTAACAAAGCTATTAGTTCCAGTTTACATATACTGTATATTACGGTGCCACATCCATGTAGCATCTAGGAACGGCTGGTTTGATGGCCCACATTTCTCTGGAGGACGTTCAGACAGACTCATTGATTATAAGAGAGAAAAAAAAAATCATTAAGAATATGTTAATGTTCCTTTCTCTGTCACGGTTTTCTTCTAATTCTTGCACAACATACACATAGTTTTCAAGGTTCGTAGTCACTGCAGATGTAGTAGAAGTACATAACTAAATAAAATACACATAAAGAATAAAAAGGATTAAATGAAAAAAAACAAAACAAACCAATCTACATCAAGTACCCACGTCTCTGCAGGTGAGGCAGCAGATTGGGTGTCACTAGGATTTATTTGATTGCTTTACTTTTGACAAACAGAGCACCAGACTGGTCAAGACATGTAGACCCCACATCAGCATTACTCATCCTGGACGATGCATCCAGCCCACAACAATTTCCTGCAGAGCTGTTTGATCTTTATGTGAGAGAGCAGGGGCCCGCGGAGAGATGAGGCTACAATGTTCCCAGATTAGCTCCTAATTGTGATAAATTTACGAGACCAACGTGACGTGCCGGGGTTTCGTGATAAGCTCAGGGGTGAAGAATGACACGCTCATTTGTATATATTGTGATCTTAATTTGCATGTGCGTGGTTTACGGCCGTGGTGTGCGCACACACAGGCGTGGAGATATGAGAGCTGTCTGTGCAATACTTACAAATTGGTCTGTCTTCCAAAAGTCATCCAGGAGGAGGAGGAACGAAAGGAGGAAGAGAAGGGTGGAGCAGAGGAGCTGTCTGACGTTGACACGACGTCTGCTCTTAATTCAGCGTCCGTGGTTCAGTCACTGTTGTACTGTTAATGCCATTATTTTTGAGTGTCTGTGACTGGAGTCTGGTGAAAATAAAAAGCTCAAACTCAGGACCCTCCTGACTTCCCTAAAAATAAATGACTGAGATTTGTAAAAATGTGTACAAGGCTTAAACTGAATGATTTACGTGTGCAGTTAAATCTGAAACTCTATAGTCACATCACACCACTGTGGTTGTGAGAAGAATGGCTGAAAATGCAAACTTGCCGACAGGAAGCTGCAGATAATCCAAATGAACTGCTTTGTTTATACATATAATCTGCAGTTGTCTGTGATTTACAAACCCTCTGATTGGATTTAAATACGCTCTTTGGAAAGTGTTAGTTGATTACATTTGTAAACAGGGACCCCATTATTTCATAAAACACCCTAAAATATCAAATTCACTTGGTTAGCTGCCTCATCTGAAGAGTCTTATAGCTGAATAACAGTTGTTTGGGATTCAGTTTCCAGACAAAGACATACTCTATCTCAGTCCAGTTCATGCTGGACAATCTCTCCAGCTCCTCTGAATTTGATGGTCTTCAGGCATGGTCACTGGTCGTCAGTGAAGGTAAAGGAGTGGCTCAACAATTCAAAACTTAGTAAGAGAACATCATAATATGACGTGAGCTCCTTGAATCAAACACGTGTTCACAGGTGCTATGCTAAAGTCCCGCTCTCTGTAGAAACAAATTAGACATCTTCACTGATGTGTATATTTTTGTCCTCAGCTGTAAACAGACCAACGTATGAATCCCTGCTAATGTTTACTCTTCTTTTAAGTTCGTTTTTAGTTTCCAGCTTCTTCGCCGAGGCTCGGTTTTACACTGGGGAAATGTAAATTTTGCTTTTTGGTGCTGAGCGGGACTAGATGACTTGATTTATTGGTGCTTTTTAAATGAGAAAAAAAAAACAGTTTTTGGTGGAAATGATGTTGATTATAGCGCTGAGAGTCAGGCACAGGAATGAGGTCACTGGTGATGAATTGGTCCAAGAAGTCAATGCGAACAGCACAGTTGGGGGATTTGTCACTATGAATGATACACAAAAATTTGATCCAACATCAGTATGAAAATACACACTTGCTTTTACAGAATGCAGGTTAAACAAACCGCTAAATCCAATACCGACTGTGGGGCCGTCACGGGTGGCAGATACTACATCTGTTGTTCTACAGAAACACAGCCATGCATGGAAAAGAGCTTCTCTGGTGCACCTCGTGTCTGAATGTAGTATCATTGAGGACTTTCTAGGAAAAAAACTATCAAAAGGTAAAAAAACACACCCACATTGCTGTCAATGACAATTTCACTCTGGGGACTTTTTTGGTGACTACTACAGTCTACAGAAACGAGGCTGGACACAGGAGAACGCTGATGTTTGCTGTAGCTGTCAGAGCACTGTTCCTGCAGCAGGGACGTCTGTCAGGCTAATACTGATGAGCGCTCTAATTAATGCAATCCAATCAGTTCAAATATAAAAAACAAGGTTCAGGTACTGATGTTGATAATCCTGCAGTGATGACACTCATCCCATCGTGGAGATCCTGTCTGCTCATTTCCTCTCCACCCCCTGGAGATGGAGCACAGGGAAATCTGTTCAATGACTGAACTTTATATTCCAGGAGGAAGGATTTGCAGTACTTTGAGTGATGTAGAGTACTAAAGCACCAAAGAGGTTGTTAACAATGAAGTAAATAAATAAAGTACATCAGTAGTGAAGAGTCTTTATCAGGCTGTTATGTGTCTGACTGTCAGTGTGTCTGTTTCCACTAAATAGGATCGTAAATATTAAGAAAAAAACAGAGGTTTATTATTAGACTACCGCAGACGGTTATTTTACATTTTAATAGCACAAAATAGCTTAGTAGCTCAATGACCAATGATGGGGTCACAACCTGGCTTATATATTCTAATGTCCGAAGTGGAAAAAGGATAGTGGTAAATATTATGAGAATTTAGATTGAGGTTATGAAGAGATTCCACAGCTCTGCGGTTCTATCTGGGGCGACGGCCAATCGGCTGCTACAGAGTATAATCATAGTTTAATAACTGCAGCAGGAAGTTTAAATAAATAATCCAGCCCAAAATGTATGTGTGTGTTTGTCTATTTAAGTGTAATCATGAAAGCATATAAAGAGTTAAATCATTACCTGAGTCCATCTATATTTGAAATTCATAACCAGATCAGAGGCAGTAGAATGTATTAGAACATAGTTAGTGTTTATCTGTTATCTGTCTTTTTGTTTCATTAAAAAAAAAAGTGCGCTTCAAAAAGAGCTTCAGTTGAAAAAGCCTCCTGGTTGAGGAGGAATGTATTCATGGAACTCATGTTAAAAAAGACAGTATTGTAGTTCCCTGGTTGCTGCTGTACAATGTTTGTGTGTGATTGAAACACATTGTTGTCTCTGTCCCCTGTGATCACAGCCTCTCCATGGTGTAATCACACCATTATATTGCTGCTAATCTGGATCAGATACATACTATACTTACTACTCCAATTTACAACCCCCCCCCCCCCACACACACACACACACTAATCGCATGAATCACACATATGATCTCAGCTCCATTATGCTGCCCCTTTTTTCAGAGATTATACTGTTAAATGAACACTTGCTCTCCAGTCATGTGACTCCAGTCACAGCCAGTTGCTCTCTCTTTCTTTTTTTCTTTCACACATTTACTTTGTGACTTAAACTATTGCACAGTTACCAGTTACCTACTTAACTTTCACTCCAGAATCTAAACATGTCTGCAAATGCTAACCCAAAATTGATCTTGTACTCCGTAAGCTCTTTAATAAAATATTTGACAAACATTCATGTAATCCCACTTGAGAATACCAGAAAAATTCACAAAGCGGAAAACTACCCTCTGGGAATTCGACTATTCCCCGAGTCGTGTGGAATATGAATGCAGTGAACAGAAAACCACATTTTTATATACATTTCAGCAATATTGTAGATAGTTTTTGATCATTTAGGAATGATGATATATTTGATCTATTAATCACGCTTGATTATGTCCACGATTATTCAAAATGAATGAAGATTAATGCTACCCTGTGGTTAATTAGATTCAAATCTGTAATTTGACAACACTAGTTTTAAATCATTTGCACTTATTTATAAAAACAGTCAAACTGTTTCAACTTTGACATAAAAACCTTTTATACAAAAACCCTCCACATCCCCTGTTTCATTAGTGGGCTGCAGTACAATACTTAAGAAGGTGATTAAAGTCAGTTCATGAAGGATTTGTGGTTAAAGCAGTGGAGAACATGGTGTTTCTCTCGCCTGTTACCTACCAATATATTCAAGTACGGAATTAAGAAAAAAAAACCAAAGACTTGGTGTTTTCTTTTTGTATTTCAGTTTGGTTATAAATACGCATCAGAAAATAAAAAATGTTCTCATCCCCCGACTTTAATTATGTCAACCTCGAACAACTCTGATCCTTGAGGATACAAAGTAATCTCTCTGTCTACAATATTAATCCAACTGTGTGAAATTAGCAGCGTGTCAAGCTAAGGTTTGATAAATACAAGAGTGGATGGAAACTAAAAGCCACCTGTGATGATTTGTCTTTGCATAAGTTTGCATAAAGTACTCTGTTTTGGATTTATTCAAAACAATAATATGATAGTATCATCTTCTCGCGGCACATTTTTCTTTCAAGTGCTGCTGAGAGGGATGTGCGTTCGTTCTTAATGTTCACCCTGTGCACGTGGGCGGTCAGTTAATAGCCATTTCATAGCTTCATGAAAGTATAATAATCGAGTTGGGAACAAATACAGTGATTGCAGTTGGTCAGGTACGATGCTGTTATAAAGCATCTGCAGTATCTCTAGTGTCAGATGTCCCCCCACCCCCTCAAAAGACAACAAACCCAAACACATGCAGTTAAACTGAATCAAATGTTCTATGTCTTAGACACCAAACGTGAAGCTGTATTGTGAACTTTTCTCCATTATTCCAGCGGTGACCCTTTTATCGACAGAGGGCTTTTTCTATTAACAGAAACCGATTCTCCTTCAAACTGTAGGTTTGTTGCTCCGAGCACCTAAAGCCCAGGAGTTTAAAACCTTATTAAGATAAATGATTGATATGCTAGCAGCGGGAGCAGCGTGAAGGGACAAGTCATGTTAAAGCCAGGGTTGCTTTAGAAGCAGCAGTGAATTAAAGATGGGAGGAGCTGTTAATTATCAGTGTGTCTCTGAAGGCCACAGATCACACAGCCTCCGTACAAAAAAAACCAAACAACTCTGCCCTTAAACCCATGTGTGTGTGTGTGTGTGTGTGTGTCTACCTACTGGTTAGGTGAAAGCCCACCTGTCTCAATCAAAGGTTCAAAAGCATCAATTCACTGGTGAAGAACCTTCAAACAGTGAACGCGTGATTGAAGTGCAACAAATGCAGGAGCCGTGCCTTTTGTTGAAAACAGAGACTGAAACTTAATGAGACTTTTCTTTCTGTTCAGTCGGTGGGAGACGTGGAGAGTACGCCTCCTTTAATACACTCAGACGCTGTCATGAATATTATTAAATACTAAATTACTTTAGTGAGTCTCTTAATGGAAGACTCACAGTTCTGGACCAATCTTTTCAAAACGTTCTACTTTAATATCATTTTTAATAATAATTAATATCAAGACAATAAATGTTTATTTTCACTGGTTATTTGGTTTTTATGTTGTTGTTTACACAGCTCATGAAACCCAACCCTATCCTACTCTGAATTGGCAGCTACACAAATGAAAATACTCATATCGTCAAGTAACCCAAGAGATAGCAGAAGATTGAACCTTGTTGTTCTGTAAAGAGATCAAGTGATGTTTTGGTCTTTAAAAGAAAAGGTTCATGTTGTAGCTGTTGTTGGTGTTGCTTTGTTCAGGGTACAGTCAAACACAATGGTATATCACGTAGACAGTGGGCGACTGAAGTAATGTTGTAGTAATCCAACTGAAAAGGGTCAGAGTTTGGTAGTTCTGACATCCTCCGCGGGTCGTGTCCTCCTCTTGATGAGCGTGCGTTGTTCGCATTTGTGTGTGTGTGTGTTGTGAACAAGAGATGTGTGGTGATGTAGGGGTGATTACAGTCATGACACTGGGGTTTGGATTATGGAGGATTACACACACACACACAAACACTCGTACTGCACATTAACGCATGTACAGACACGAACACACTTGCACTCAAACACACGGTTTTGTTCATGACATGCAGAGCTAATACTGTGGTACAACAGGGTCAGGGAGAGAAGGATGGATAGTTTAGGATGGATTAGGAGGCATTATGTCAAAAATAAAATATTTATTCTTTTTTTCTGTTGTGGTCGACTTCTTCCTCCCTCCCCTCCTCCCTCTTCCTCCTTCTCTTTCCAGGCACTAGGCTGTCAACATGGCCTTCCCCATGGGGCGACCTTCTCCACTCTTGCTCCTTCATTTCCTCCTCCTCCTCTGGTCCTCCAAGCCACTGCAGGCCCGGCCGCTGCTGCTCCACCCGTCCATTAATGTGGCGGTGGTTTTCAGTGGCTCCAGCTACCAGAATGAAGTGAGGGGTCGACTCAGCGGGGAAAACTTTGTCGATCTGCCTGTGGTGGTCAGCCCTGTGACTGTGCTGGTCAATGACACCAACCCACGTGACCTGCTGACCCGCCTGTGTGATACGATGTCAACGGAGAGGCTGCACGGTGTTGTGTTTGAGGACGATGTGGGCTCAGGAGCAGGAGTTCAGGTAAAATGTATTCATCCATTTTTATTTTATTTCTTATTTAAGCAGAAGTATTCTTTGATTCTGCGTTTCATTTTGCTAAAGTTCTACATTTTTAAATGATTTTTGAAACACCTGCTCGGTTTTACTGCCAGTCATCATAAGAATAATCCAGGAAAAACTCCTGCTCTAGATGCATAGACTTTTTTCATTAGAAGGGAGAACCTGCATGTCAGGTACTGATGCAATACCTGACATACCTGACTACTGCAAACACTTCATGTCACTCTCATGCAGCGATGAAGTTGGATTATTGGTTATTTAAAATGTGGGTTGTAATACAACTAAAATGTAAAAATGTTGTGTTATTACACACCACCCACTCTGTACCCCAGATTAGAAATAGCACTGTATGAAGCAAAAGTGAAGTGGTTCAAACATGGGATCTGTTTATCTTCAGGTGGCAGAAGTGGCACAAATCCTGGACTTCCTTTCCACCCAGACAGCGCTGCCAATCGTGGGCATCAGTGGTGGCTCTGCAGTTGTCATTCCCTACAAGGTAAAGCTGGTGCAACTTTTTTCTGCTGTGTCATGATGATGATGTACACAGATGTTTCGGCTGTCATCTATATTGATGTAATGTAAAATTAAACTTGAAAGACAAATAAAAAGTTAACCACTGACAGTGAGCGGAGCCACAGCCGTGATGTAAAGCCTGTCAGCAGCCAGCGTTGGCTCTTTGAAACCTCCTGCTTCAGTCCTAACTCTTCCTCACTGGGCAGCACTTGACATAAAACAACTTAAGTAGGTCAGAGCAGTGAAATCTACTCCAACGTGCACCACCATGAATGCAAATATTTGGATTTGAGCAGTACTGCATTACTGCCATGACCTCAGCCATCGACAGACGTTAGCTCCTCTGATCCCTGGCTGAGGAGACACTTAGTCTGGGGAGCAGGTAGACTTTGGGAGGAGACACAGGTTTAGTCCTCAAAAGGAGAAGTATCAGGTCCTTCTATACCCTGTCACTTAGTCAGGGTTCTTTAGTCGAAGTTGTATTAAGAGAAGTAGCGTGACGTGATGACAGTGAAGACAGTGACGGGGACGTGACACCACATTTGTCATCTGTGATGATCCTAAAATGGTTCCATTCCTTCTTCCCTTCACTCCTCATGTTTGCTCTCATCTTCTCCCCTCCTTTAACTTCTTAACCATCATCAACACCTTGTATTTATAGCAACAACTCTCACACGTAGAAACTCACATGCAAATGAACCTCGCTCACATACGAGCACGTGCTCACACACACAGACACATGGACAAACGGGTGAATTTGTGGACTGGCCAGATAACTAACTGATCTGCTGTCGTGTTCTACTGAGTGGTGAACATTTATTCCCCGAGCAGCACTTTGTAAACCTAGCTTTGTTTGGCAAATTCCTCCTCACCAAAAGTATCAGCAGACACCATGCTGTACCTGGGTATTAAACAGGAGCAGTTGTAGCTACAGCAGAGGGACTGCATTGATTTGGTGTATTTTGATGGAAGAGCAGAGACTGAGAGAGTCAGTGGCAGAGAGAAGTGAAAAATGTGTTGATGAAGTCTGGCTGATAGCTGCCTGGAGAATGGCTTTTACTGTCTGTAGTAACTGATAACGGTCTTTCCATGGCTATACAACAGGCATGTTCAACATCTGGCTCGTGTTCTAATTATGGCCCTTTATCTGAGAGGTTTAATTTGGCCTATATATTTAGTACTATTGTGGTGGTCTAACTGACTTCAACAGTTAACTTCCACATTGTCCTTGTGTTGTCTGACCTGTATTGTCCCAGACTCTATGGTATACATATGGCATTCCTTATGATATGGATCTGCGTATAAAGTATGTCACCGTATGAAACAAAGTGATCTGGAGCCTCATGTTTTTCCTCCATTCATACGGTGCAGTTACTTCCCTCCTAGTCAAATACTTCTTCCATCAACTCAACTTTCTAACTTACTTCTAATATACACCGCCCCCCCCACACACCTTTGCTCTTGAACACATTTAAATCTTTTTTTCCTGCTCTTTTGTGTTGTGGCTGAATCCCTTCAGTGAGAGGTTGGTGCTCTTCTCCCTCTCTTGGAGTTAAGGACCATATTAAACTGTTAATTAGATCCTTCAGGAGGCTGGAGACCCTGAACTCTACATCATTCATCTCTAATCACTGCTATTCACTTGTCTTTTACGTCCATCACATAGTTTGGCAGTCTCCCTGTTTAACCCTCTTCTTTCTCCTTCTCTTTTCATCATCTGCCTTGTCTTAGCCTCACAGGGAAGATTCCAAACTTCAGCTTTTTGGAAGTTCTTCTAAAGCAGATGTGTTACAGTGACAGATCCATTTGGACATGGGCAACATTTGTTTATCAAAAACATTCTCTGCTTTGTATTTTGCAACTAAAAATGTTTATTGCAAAAACAAAACTGTTGATTGACAGGTGTCTATTTATACTCTGCCATGATCCCAAAATAGTCCATGATAATACACTGGCAAAAACAATGGGTCCTAATTTAAAAAGACATACAGCTGCGACCATACTGTAGAGACTGTAGAGTGTTGCCTCAGGTCCTTCGTCTTCTTTACCTCAACACTAATACAGAGCAATGCATTACACAGCCACACTGCAATGGTACACAGCTGAGCAGCCGGTGATATGACAGGAGCAATCTTAAAGGAGTGCTGAGCAGAGTACTTTAGGAACAGATTGAAGCACAGTAGAGTTATGAAACTGGAGAACAGTGGAACGAGGACTGAGCTGATTGTTTACATCTAGTTCTGTTTGCCAGGATCACAAGGTTTCAAAACAAATCCAATCATAGCAGTGTTCACTTGCACAGCAGCACAAAGAGACTCAAACCCTTCATTTCCTTTGACTATGGCCTCACTCAACCCTTCCTGCTCCTCTTCATTTCATGCTCTTTTTTTCTCGTCTACACTGCTTTGTTAGCATCAAGGAAAGACATGTTTTCAGAGATTTTTGTTACAACAGGGCCTGTGGATTGGACAGAGAGAGAAAGCGACACATTTCGGAGTGCATGATTCCCTTAATGGATAAAGACTTCAATAGTGCTTGATTATCAATAGCTCGGTGATGACAAATATCTTTGATGGTGGGTTAAAAAGAAGCAGCCGACATTCAGGACACCTATTTATGGTTCCGATACCAGTGATCACAGGGAAGAGGGTGAGGATGAAAAGATTGAATGGAGATGAGGAAATGCATTTTCTGTTAGATGGCACAAAAGCAAAGACGAGGCTGGGGAAGAAAAAGGGAAGAACTCTTCACTATGAGCAAATTTCTCTGTGAGAGAAGAGAAGGAAATTAGAGGTTAAGAGCGTTTTCTCTTTGTGAGCCACTCTGAGTCACTGCAGTGTGCTAGCTGATCATTAGAGGGTGCTGCATCCAGATGTTGATTAGTGGGAGTAGCGGAGCAGGAGAACGGAGGAGAAAGGGCAGAAGACAAGGCGACAGGTAGAGGCTTCACTGATACGCTGAACTTTAACGATGATAATAACTAATAAGTTAACGACTTCATCTATACGGCATGATATAGAAAGGGCTCCTTGTAAATACGCACAGAAATGGTGATAAATAAAACTGGTGCACAAACAGAGATAAAATATGCAAAATAAAAAGAACAGAAGATGAGGGAATAAAGAAGATACCATTCTGAATAGCAACCTTTCACTTTCACTCTTTAAAATGTCATTTAAAAACAAACAGATACAGTATTTGTGTTTCAGACACTGACAGTGAACATTCAAAATGACAGGAGTCACAGTAAGAAAACTCACTGGGCTCACCCCACTCAGCACTAACTGATAAAAAGGTCATTATGGTTTGGTAAATGCTTCCTTGGTTTTGTTGTAAAGCTGCAGTGGCAGGGCGACATTTTCAAAGAGAACACATTAATTAAGCACATTTAGCAGCTGTTGTCTGATCTGTGCCTGGTGAATCACTCATCACATCGATAGTGACTGATCGTATTTGTAGACAGTGATAAAGCTCAGAATCAACCATGCTGACAGTGTTATGTGTTAGCCAGTAAACAAACACAAAAGTTCTTTCAAAGTGTGAACATGATGGATTTTGGGGGGGAGGATAAATTCTCACGTTTAAATGCCTGACATTATTTATTACAATTTGAAGCCGTCAGTAGAGTTTTATGTATCAGGACCTGCAGCATCAGTGCTGTCTGTCACCTAAGGTCATTTATTGGACTGGAGCGCTGCCATATCTCTCATTGTGTGGTGCCTTCTGGGGGGGTATTTGTAGTGTGTGCACGGGCTGACCTGTTTTTCTGGTGTGTCCTTACTACACCTTCTCCTCTATGTCTATCCGTCTGTCTCCACTCTCCTCATTTTTTGCTTTCCTCTGGCCTTGTGGTCCAGAAACCGAGAAACTCCAGAAGTAGGTCATGTTGATCCCCCAGCCGCAGCACGTTGTTCCCATTTGATTTTTTTTTTTTTTTATCACTTTAAATGAAATGACTTAAATTGCCACCCAGTCTCTGTGTTGTCTTGGCTTGGCCCAATAATTTCAATGAGGCAGTCACTCAAACGGCTAAGGCTCAGCTTTATGATTTCTTTGGAGTTAATGTGAATCACCTGAAGGAGTGGCTGAAGGTTGGAAATCAGTCAGTTTAGAGGTACAATGAAACTTAATTATCTGTGAAAACACAACAGACTTTATTCCTGAAGTGATCAAAGTGTGGCTTCACAGACAGTCTGTATCTGCCTTGTGTGTGTTTCAGGGGTGAGGACTTTAGTTTGTTCAGTCTTAACTTCCACAGTTTTTGATAAGAAATGTTGTTAAACTGAACCCTTTTGTATCTGAAACTACAGAACCAGCTAACATGTGGGTCGTTCTGGTTGACATTCAGATAAGACATCGCCAAGAAGCCCTGTGAGAGAGACTCACATCCATTTCCATTGAGCCGAATAATTGTGTATGCATTCTTGGTTTGCACAAACACGAACCTCAATTATCATGGCTGGCCATAAGCTTTATAAAGTAATACTAATCTAAAATACTAATGTAGTATTGATAAAGATTAGATATAATTGCATTAAAATAGTAGTAGTTTTTGTGTTGACATTCTGATTATAAAATTTATTCAAACAAAAACTCTTTTCCTCAATTTTAGTTCTCATTAAAAATGTCTTCAAATGACGTGTCTTTTCAAACAGTTTTAAATTAAATAATAATAAAGTAACATGAAACCTGTAAAAATATCATTTGATTTACTGAAGGAATAAAATTGAACAGGTCCCTGTGATTACAGAGCTGCTGCAGAACAGTATAATGGCTATAATATATTTACTAATGATCAGAAAATGAATAGCATCAGAAAGGCAATAGCATGAGCTGAATGCTGCCACATGTGTGAAAACACTAAAGACACGGCAGCATGACATCCATTTGAATCCATACGTGTGAGCTACTATGTCAGTGACTCGCCTCCTCTTTGACCGACACCAGTCCTACCACCAAGGGGAAGGTTCAGCCCCCCCCGCCAGTGAGAGGAGTGTGTGAGCAGCCACCATGTCCACCATCTTCCTGTCACATTACCATACGCTCCTGCTGCAGGACTGCTAATTACGTCTGTGTGTGACAGCCACATTGCCAAGGTGGTGAGAAAAGGCGGCTGGAGACGAGAGCTCAGGGGAAGGATGGGCGTGGGTGTAATAAGTAGATAAAAAGGAGCTAATTCTTGATAAGTTCAGTAGTGACTCTAGGTTTCAGAAACAGTGAGTGAAATCCTGTTTGGTTGGATTTGAACCTTACCATCATTCCCTTCTTTCCACTGAAGTAGGACACTGAAGTGTTAACAAGAACATCTAATCCAGGCAGATTATTTAAAAATGAATTTACTGCCAGCAGGATGTGGTTGTGTACCGCTATTTTTAATATCTATTTTGGTGCAAAGCCCAGTGAGTGGTCTAGTGAAAGTGTCTGTGCCTCAAGAGCTTCGTCTCAAACAGGTTCAGACAGAGAAAGCAGTGATAGAATTGACTGAAGGAGAGTGTGGCTGTGATATTCCTGTAGTATTCCTCAGGCTGCGCTGCTCTCTGGGGCTTTACAAACCCTTTGAGCCGTGGGAGAGGGAAGAGCAACAGGATGAAGAGATGACTGTGACTCACCTCTCAGATGAGAGGAGCCTGAGAAGATCTGAGACCTGGTCCCAAAAGACATTTGACAGTCTCTCTCTCTCTCTCTCACTCCATCTCTCTTATACTCCATTTACCACATCTCTCAAGTGCGACTTCCTGTATGCATACGTTACAGTACTTCTTTATGTCCCCTACTTCTATTATAGTATAGCTGTCATATAGCTCAGACACAAACAGCTCATGATTCAGTCTTTCCAGATTATTCATTTTGTAGTATTAAAGGAAATGTACCACTACTACTGTACGTCTCTACTCCTGCAGTCTTGCAATCACTTACATCACAGTTTTTTTCATGCCGTTCACAAAGTTAGGCTCTCAAGATTTCCGAAAAGTTCTGGTTTAAAGACTATGTTGTCAAAGTACACTGTACCACTCTCAAGAATATGAGACATTTTACTACTGGTAATGTAAACAATGATTTCCTGCACAGCTGAGTTTTGACCATAGAACTTTTAACTTAGATCAGTACTTGTACTAATACTAGATTAACATATTCAAATTGTGCCAGACGAGACACAGCTAAACAACCAAAAAACCCCAACATTTTCTGATGCAACTAAATGGTTTCAGTCCAGTTCCTCCTTCTTCACAGACCCCAGTTGTCATCCCAGTAACCTATTTTAATTGAATGAATTATGAAGGACTTTCTGTTCTGCTCTGGTAACTTCCCATCTAATCTGTCACAGAAATACACAAAGAGTTCTTTGGCAAAACAATCCCAGGTACATGTCACATCGGAGCAGTCCTTCGTGACAGAAGGAGAACAGCAGGACTAAGTGTCTTCAGTTCAGTTCTGTCAGTATACGGACAGTCATTTAAATGCTCCCATCAGTGACATCAATATTCAGGTTTCATTTACGTCTCATGAATCTGCAGTTGCGACCTCTTCACTGGAGGGTTCAGTATTTGAACCCATCTGCTGTGAAACATCAATAATATATAGCATATAGTGATTTAAAGACGTCGTGTTTCTAAATCAGGTGCCGGTGTCTCAGCAGCGTCACTTAAGCTTTAGTCCTTTCTTGTCACTGCTTTCTAACTTAATTGGTTTGGAAAGGTCGTTCCACCGCCGCGCCTTTGTGACTTATAGCAGTTATTCTTTTACAAGTTGAAAAGAGATTAAATAATTAAAATACACTATTCGAGGAGTGGTTCGATATGATCCAAATGTTAATATTCCACAGCAGTACTAAAGTGCTCTAGGTTCAGCCCAATGAGCAGCAGCAGCAGACGGCAGTTCTGCTGCGAGAAAAATGACACTGTGCTGAATTACCTTTATGTACTTCAAAGTGTGAGGATCTCTTCATCACTGATACGGCACACTTTCACAAGGGCATATATTTGACATGTTTTATATTAAATTATATATTCAAGATGCTAGGGTCGAAAACAACTGTTCAGATTCAATATTGTTTCACAGCAAACCTCCAGTTATCCTAAGCCTGTTTTGTCCTTGTGTACAGGCAGAGGGATCCTCCTTCCTACAGATGGGAGCATCTCTGGAACAACAGATTCTCTGCATGTTTAAGGTACAACCTTATTACCGTATTAATCCAGCATGGGGACAGAAGTAGAGGTTCAATCTTTACAGGGTTAAGCCAAAGGTTTTAGTATGGAATACAATCTGTAAAGTCATGAAATTTAATTGGATTATAACTGATTTAATATGGTTAAAAAATGGGAATCAAAGAGTAAAAATGTTTTCACGTATATGAAATTATCTTTATTTTCCTGATTTCTGTCCTACTTTTCACAAGCCCACTGACTGCCTCTGGAAATAGAAGAATCATTTGTGAGATAAATGAGAGTCTAATGCCCAGTGTGATCGTTAAAGACACCGTTTGACTTCTAAAAAAGTTCACTGATTCGCTTTGTACCAAAGGTCAGAGTTAAATGTTGATAAAACTATGAACCAAATATACTGTATACGTATTTGTTGTTGTCATTGTTCCAGCTCATGGAGGAATATGATTGGGGAGAGTTTGTGGTGATCACCAGCTTTCTGCCAGGATACGACACCTTCGTAGACATTGTGCAGTCTTACACAGATACATCCTACTTTCTGTGGAACCTGCAGGACATTCTGACTCTGGAAATGTCAGTCGGAGCCAATGACGCCAGAACCAAACGCATGCTGCAGCAGGTACACTGGCTTAAATGAATCAGGTCACAACTGCCCCTCCAATAGGTGTGAGGTTTGAAAACATCTGGAGTTGTGTCCTCTGGTGCTGTGCACAACCACTGACTTGTTTCTTCCTCTCTGCAGGTGGACGCTCAGGTCCTCCTGGCTTACTGCTCCCACGAGGAGGCACAGTACTTGTTTACACAGGCAGCACAGGTGGGCCTGTTGGGGCCAGGCTACATCTGGATCCTCCCTAGTCTGGCCGTCGGCAACCCTGACAGTCCTCCGCCTGTCAGCTTCCCTGTTGGTGTAATTGGAGTGATCACTGAGCAGTGGAGGAAAAGCTTGCGTCAGAGGGTGAGAGAGGGTGTTGCTATTGTAGCCAAAGGGGCTGAAAGCTTCCGGAAACAGCATGGATTTATCCCTGAGGGCCACGGAGACTGTAACAGACCGGCTAAACATTCAGACAACAACACTTTGTTCAGGTAAAACACAGCACTGACGCCTCCTAAAGTATCTATACAGAGCTATAATTCACATTCTTCATGTTTAATAATACACTAGTTTCAACTGTGTTCAGCTGAGTATTTAACGTACTAGTAGGCGTGTTTATTACTGATGTAGTGCTCTTCAAATAAAACCAACCTGCCCTTCAGTAATCATGCCTCACCAATCCCCCGAGGAACTGCTTCCAGTCTCCTGCCTTAGATTAATGCCCATCAGGAGAGCTCAGTGTTTAATTAGGACCTGATAGTTATGTTTGTTTATATGCGTCCTTCATGAATATGTAAAGGCTGTGAGATGTAGACTCAGAGTTTACTGATTGTAATTTCGGCTACATGTCTTTGAGACTCCCTGTCTCCTTCCTGTGACCTATAGGCACATGCTGAATGTGACGTGGGAGCGCAGGGATCTGTCCTTTAACAACCAAGGCTTCCTCACAAACCCGTCCATGATCATAATCGCTTTGGACAGAGAGAGACTCTGGGACAAGGTAAAGAAAACCAAGGGCAGGACAAGAGAAGGACTGGCTCATTAACTGTCCCCCACTAGAACACCACAAGTACACAACATTTCCATTCTTTGTGCATTTTATCCTTCTAAGGAATGTCATATGTCAGTTCTCTTGATACCACTTCTACACACACGGACAGCCTGAGGATATACTGAGAGAGCGACTGCACACAGAGAACTGAACGATCTCACAGCTACAGTTACAAACTCATTTATTCCTGCACTGGAAAGACCAACCCAGTCCATCAGTGTCAGTGTTGTGTGGGGCATGTGTTTGCACACACGTTTGTACGAGCATCAGTGTGAAATTCAGCTGGAGTGAGATTTGGTGTGTCGCGTTTAGAGCTTGACGATACACTTGTGCAGCCAACAGCTTCGCATGTGTCACATCCATATGGCACTGATGCTGCATTCAAGGGACTGGGGACAACCAGACACAGTTGTGAGCACTGTATTATAAAAAGGCATCAAAATACTCCATCCTCCTCTGTCACTAACCCGCCCCCTCCTCCCCCTGCCTCCCACCTGTGGTGTCATTTTAGTCCTCCCAAAAGCTGACAGGTCGTGGTGAACCTGCTCTTCACCCAGACAATTTACCACGATACTCTGCTGAATATCACTTCAGCTGAGTGACACCTTTGACAGGATGAAAAAGAGGGACAGCGTTGGCACAGCTCTTTCAACCTTATCCTATATTTTACATGTGTGTTTTTTTCCCACTGAAGTTCAAATCTATTCTGACAGAGTCTCTTCTTTAACTCCAGCACTGACAGCAGTGAGAAGACGAGACATTCCCAGAAAAGGCCGATTTAAATGATTGATCTTTACAAACGTCATCTCGGTGATACACATATGGCGCAGAGAAACAAATCACAGTCCTGTGTCACACCGTACATTCACACAGATGTGTAAATCATCCATGTATGATGAAGGAAGACGGGCAGAGTGAGGCTATGAAGAAGTAGTCCCATTAAAAGTGAGCGGAGAGTGTTTCACATGCAGTAAGTCAGTGCTGGCTGAGCTCAGTATGGCTCATTAGGTTGGCTTGATTTGACAAACAGCCCTTGTTCTCACAGGAAAGGCTTCTTTGAGCTTAGCCCTGACTTTGATGGGATTTGTCAGTGTTTGAAGAGGGAAAAAAAGTTCTAGACTGAAGATGTTCTTTTTGACAATCTCAAATCTCACTCTGTATTTGTCCAGTCGTGACCAACGGACATCTGACGGTTTAACTTTAAAACGGGTCCAGTGGACTACACACAGTGTATAAAACTGTGTTATTAGTTTTTAAATGGTGTATATCCCTGAGCCATGTCCTTTGGAAAGTCAACTTCACACGTTAAATAATAATGTGCTGTGTCCTCAGGTTGGTACTTATGCTCGGGGGATCCTCCAGGTTCGATACCCCGTCTGGCCTCGGTACGGCAGCTTCTTGGAGCATGTTATTGATGACCGTCACCTCACTGTGGCAACACTGGAGGAGCACCCTTTTGTCATTGTTGAGAACGTGGACCCGGGGACCGGCACATGTGTCCGCAATACTGTCCCCTGCAGGCGTCAGTACAATCAAACTGAGAGGTACACACTTGACTAATTCAACAACTAGTGACGATGATCTACTGGTGAGAAACCTATTACATAATTCAAATTTGAACTGAATTACAATATGTGAATGACTATGTGTTAGTCACTTACTATCCACAGTAGTACCCAGTGCAGCTACACATACATCTGCACCCTCCCTCTTTGCTTCGCTGCCCTATATTTTGAGCAGACACCCCAAACCTACACACTTCATTAAGCACAGACGAAGTGTGTGTACGGAGTGTTTAAGCACTTAAAAAACACACACACCACTGGTGTCAAACACAGCTCACAGCGTGGCAGAAAAACAACCATTAAACAGCTATTACCTTTGACGACCTACAACAGGTGCGCTCCAAGAATACACGGTGTCTTCATTATGTTCAAAGAACCACAGACAACACAAATACCGCGCTCTACCTGGCCACAAATATAACAGACGTGAACAGTGTTGTCCACAGCTCAGCTTTGGTGCTGTAAATACCTGTGACCAGACAGAATGTATGTTCAACAGCTGTTGCTGGGAAACACTCAAACATTTCAAATCAGTGATGGATGGTTCTCTCTTCGATTATAATATAATTATAAGTTTGGTTTTACAATATCTTCTCCTTGAATGATGTCACACATGGCAGTGCTGCACCTTTCTGTACAGTGAGTGATTTAATTTGAACTGATGTTGCAGCGTGTGCTGCTCCTACAGTCACCTGAGGACATCTGTGAACGACTTCTGAATGACAGCAGTGAATAACTGCTCTTATAATAATAACTCTGTAACTGAACACACCACCAGGTACACTTTGACATATGTAGGTTGACATATGCAGCAGGTCTCAATTCTTAAGCACTTTGAAAGAGCTTTTATTTGGACTGCTACCAACAGTAACACAGCAGTGGGACAGAGTGACAGACGCCTGCAGCTACAGTATACAGTTTATGGAGTAATTAGTCCATCTGGACGTATTGTCTGGACAGCTCACCTGCAGAGCAGGTGTTGAACATGATTAAAACGTCTTTTTTGTCCTTATCATTAACTTACATCTTTGGACTGATGGAGATGTCATCTGGTGCAGAACCTTGATTACAAGAATCCAGAATTGTTGATGAAAATCCAAGAAGGAAACCTTGTGTGAATACACAATTAGTACTGACCAGGTGGTAACAATGAACCGATACTGAATTAAATGGCTATATATTTCAAAAATATAATAATAGCCACAAGGACTTTGTGTGTTGTTATTATACTAGACTAGAAAGTCTAACACCAAGACTCCTTTAATATGTGGAATAGTACACTGTACGTAGATGGTAAAAACAATAACTGTTACTCATCAGTTATAGTATATATATATATATATATATATTCATTCCCAGTCAACATCCAGTCTTACTGAAGTTGAATCATTTATTTCTGACATCTCAGGATTTGATTTCTAACTTTTACAGATGCCAACGTGAAGCCTGAGAGAGCCCTGTAGTTTAATTCATCATTTGACTATTCAAATATTTTCTCCACACAACTGTACTAGCAGCAACTATGACTTGAATGAAGAAGAATCCAACAATAATTCGCATCTTCTGTTTTTTCTCCCCTCCTCCTCTCATGGTGTCCTCACTTCCTCCTCACCTCTGTTCCATCTTGACAGTCACTCAAAAAGCCTCATCTGGTTGTGTTTTCTCCACCGTGAGTCTGTTTGCTCTCTGAGGTCCGCCTCCTCCATGCTGCACTAGTTTCTGGGCATTTTGCTGCTGCTGGTAATCCTCAGAGGATCCAGTAGTTGGTGTGGTGTGTGCGTGTGTTTGTGTGTTAGTGTGTTAGAGAGAGAGAGGGAGTGAGTGTGTGTTTGCATTGTTAATGCAGTGTGTAACAGTAACAGGTGGCCAGTTTCAGCAGCAATTTAATTAATGCCTCGTTTGTCAGAGCTATTAACGTCCATAAATGTTTAGAAATGGCATTTAAATGAGTCTCAGTCTAGCTGTTACTAAAATAAATAGTACATTTGAATTTAATGTGTAAAGTATTGCTTATTTGTTGACACTTTCACTGGTCATGCTGACTCACTGTTATGTAAAGTGACTCAGCCTGTACTATGACAGAAAGACAGATGAGGAGTTAAAAAAGAGAATGTTTTCTTCCCTAAGGAACTGCGTCAACTTCCTTTCCACTTTGTCTACCTTTGCCATCCATTATTCCATTTTTTCTCTCCATTTACTGTTTCAGCTCCTTTCCTCTACAGCCCATTAAGTAGTGAGGACACAGAGAGGAAGTGTCTGTCCTACAAACACGGATGCTGTGTCTTAATGGCCTTTGACTAGAGGCCAAGTTATTCACCCATTCACTGAGGTTCCTCATCTCACTGTCTGTTTGGCCAGAGCTCAGGATCAGATCAGTTTTCAGAGAGGTATTTAACAACTTTTTTTCCTTCTTCTCATGTCTTTTCCACAGTTTGGTTGGTCAGTCAGAGTCCTACACCAAACTCTGCTGCAAGGGCTTCTGCATAGACATTCTGAAGAAGCTGTCCCGCACCATCAAGTTTTCTTATGACCTCTACCTGGTCACCAACGGAAAACATGGCAAACTGGTCCGTGGGATTTGGAACGGCATGATTGGCGAGGTGAGAATGAAAACTGAGCTATTTTAGGAAGGAGATTTCCCTGAATGCAACAGATGGTGCGTCCTGGAGGCTTTCTGCTGGTAGTATGAGAGAAAGGTGTTGAGCCACAAATTTGACTAAAAGGACTGCAGCCTTGGGCTGTGCACTGTCCTGATTCTTAGCCATGAGACCAACGTACTGGTGAATACACACATGTTAATCTGTTGTTGCCTTTTTGTTCTTTAGACAATGTCCCACCGAGCCGTGGCTCCACTTGCCTACTTGTAGATTGTGAAGGGTGATTTCTTAGTAACAGGTGAAGGGTGTAGGTATATATAATACTATAAATATATGTGACATAATTACTCACTGTATATCTATGTTATTACCTAACTGCTGTAATATGTCATCCAAAGGAAAAATAAAAATGACCTGTTGTCAGTGAAAACCCTTCATTTTATAATAACTTTAATTACGAAAATCATCAAATTAAAAAGCCACTGTAAACAAACGAGGAAAATGGTGCTCGTTCCAAAGTGTTCCTTTGATGAGGCTAATCTGGGTCAGCGGTGTGAGGCCGTGCATGCACAAATGGAGAAACAGTTTCCTCCACACACCAAACACACATCAAACACACACGCATTTGAAATTGAAATAACCTGAACAGGTGTTCCTCAGGAGAGAGTTTTTGCTTGTGTTTCTACGCCTGGAGGCTCGGCATCTGTCTTTGTGTGTGTGTGTGTGTGTGTGTGTGTGTGTGTGAGTGCTCTGTATTCATGGGGAAAATATTTTTCTATATTATTCATGTTTTTTAGAAAAGCAACCTTGAGCGTTCCTGGAGTGGAGCCTTCTTCCCTCACGGATGTTTAGAGAGCTTGTTACAATTGTCACAAAGTGTTTGCTGACTTCACTTTTAAAGGGGCCGTTCTAAAAATTGTAAATGTTCTTTCCAGTCAAGAAAATACTGGCAGAGCTTGCTATAGCCTTTCATTTTCAGTTTCTCCTCTTTCTTTGGTCTCCCAGGTGGTGTATCGCCGAGCCGACATGGCCATCGGCTCACTTACTATCAACGAGGAGCGTTCAGAAATCATCGACTTCTCTGTGCCGTTTGTTGAGACAGGAATCAGCGTCATGGTAGCCCGCAGCAACGGGACGGTTTCTCCTTCTGCCTTTCTTGGTGAACGTCTCTCTAAAGCCTCCATCTTTTTTTCAATCTACACTTTCACCTCTTTTCCCCCATGTCTGCCCGACTTAAGCAATTTCCGTCTCCTCCATTGCCGTTATCCTCCGATAACTGTCGTCTGGAACTAAATCCCCTCACATCCTGCACGCCCCTATATCCTTTTCCCCTCAAAACCCACACAACAGGTTTGGCCACAAAATGAATGGTGCATTTCTCACTTTTCATTTTCACACAATTACATTCTTCATTTTCCCATCTGCTATCACCCTTCCACACACTGCACCCTTAATCACAGTCTGTGCAGCAGATACAAACTGGAGCTCTTCAAACTTCTCTGTTTGTGTTTCCTCCTCTGCCTTCAGAGCCCTACAGCCCTGCAGTGTGGGTCATGATGTTTGTGATGTGTCTGACTGTCGTGGCCGTGACAGTTTTCGTGTTCGAATACTTCAGTCCGGTTGGTTACAAAGGCAGTTTGGTGAGCGCTAAGGGTGAGTTTCATGCATGTCTTACAAACCAAAAACATTATATGTAAGAATTTCACACAATAGTCATGAAGAAGTGATGAAGAAAGAAGTATAATTCCAAATATCTCATTTGAAATGGGAGTACAGCAGTACTCAGGCATTTGTACTTACACCTTTATCGTCACTTGTGTAGATAGAAGTGTAAGTGCATACGTCGAACCTTAGAAAGCCTGACCACAGTCAGCCTGTGAAGCCCCACGTGCCTGTCCTGAAGGGCTCACACTTCCACCACAGAACTGTGGCGACAGAGGCCTTATCAATCTGAGGGTACAGCACTGACAGAGCATGCCTTGTCTCCAGGTCCAAAAGGTCATTCTCCTGTTTTAATTAGCATTCGTGGCTGCTCTAATCAAAGAGTGATTGATGATGGCGGCAAACTTCACCGCAGCATATGGGCAAACGTGGCAGAGAGCGATGGAAACGGGCTGAGGCCGTAAAATTGTTTTTTGAAAGTTTGCAGAAGGGCATGAAGAATCTGATGAATACTAATATTAGATTTGTTTTTCTTCATTAATGTGTTTACAAGAATAATTCCATGTAATTGCTGACACACACAGGCTTAAAGGTTATGGTCCACAATTTCAAACGCATCATTATTCAATTATGCTTTTAAAACCATATACCATAACCACATATACACACATCTCAATGGACACTGTGAAGGCAGGGAGGGACAATCAAATCCTTTTTCAAACATGACATGACAAAGGCTCATCCTGAAAACAACTTCCTGCAGATTTAGAGCAACTTATTTTGCAATTTAGTTTTAAAGCTCCAAATCTCCAGTTTCCACCTGTTCCCTTGAAAACTCTGTTCTCTACACGAAGCTTGTAAACAAATTGGTTAAAATTTGTAGCAACAGCTTCAAAATGTTTTCAGCAGTAGCCACTTTTTATAGACCCTGTTCTCTTAGTTTGACAAGACAAGACTCAGTGAGGTGCAATATGTTGTAAAAGAACAAAATATATGCGCATAATATAAAGCACCGACTGTGTTAAACAAGATTTCTGAACCCTTAAAGCTGAACAACTTTGGGATCAGATCAGAACATCGATTTTTAACTAGACTTGAAATGAATGGAGGGCGTTGTTTCACAAAAAGCACCATGTACTACAAACTGTACCAAATGGAACTAAGTAGACTGTCCACTGTTTCAACTGTGATTGTTCTTTTGGTCCTATGTAAAATACATTTCTCGTCCAATTAATCTTTTCACATGTATGCTGTGATACAGTTGTGCACTGATACACTTTGCCTCGTGTTTTCTCACTCTGACTGAAGCTGTAAATACTCAGACAACCTTCTAACTCTTCTAACTGTTTTTTCTCTCCTTCCCAGCTCCTGGCGGTCCAACATTCACCATAGGGAAATCAGTTTGGCTCCTGTGGGGCATAGTCTTTAACAACTCAGTCCCCATTGAAAACCCCAAAGGAACCACCAGTAAAATCATGGTCCTGGTCTGGGCCTTTTTTGCAGTCATTTTCTTGGCTTCCTACACTGCCAACCTGGCTGCCTTCATGATCCAGGAGCAGTATATCGACACGGTGTCCGGGTTGTCTGACAAGAAGGTGAGAGACAGAGCAGAGAAGACTTTTAAAAGTCCCCTCAGACACATTGAATCTTTCTGCTGTGAAAAGAATCTCTGTTTTTTTCTGTTTGTTGCCGCATCGACCAATACACATTAAACAGAGACAGAGCAGACCTGCAGATAAAGAAGTCACAAACGGCCTTTGTTGTGAAGTGTCCTTTTCATAACAGTGGGGAGCCCTGTAGCATGAATGACTAATCAATTTCTGCCTTCTGTCAATACAGATGGTGTCTGCATCCTGACTTGTCCTGTCAGTATTTTATTCTGTCCATCAATATTCCCCCAGCGCCGTCTCCAGCTCCCCTCTCTCTCACACTGCTAAAACAAGAGCATCAAATGTCAAATGCAAAAAGAAAGTCAAAAAGAAAAGCAACGCCTGTCGCATTAGTGTGTACTGCAGACAGAGGCACGCACGTAGGCGACCTGTACACACGGCCCACTCAGATGAGTTTTATGAGAAATCATTGTATTCTTTAAAGGAAGTGAAAACAACCCTCAGTCTATAAGACCGCTGTATTACCTTTATGCAGATGCATTAACGTCCTGCGGCGTAAAATGAAAGACAAACAACCACGGAGCTCAGCATCAGATGCCTTTATAACTGAGGGCATAGACAACAAAGGATTAGAGGGTTTAGGTCCCAGGCTGGCTGCTTTCATATCTTGCAGGTTTAAAGGATAAAGCTGCTTGTGGTCCATGACTTATCGACTCTCAATAAACACAACGAAAAACACAACGTGTTTCCTTGTGATGTGCTTTTTAGCTGCAATGCTGTGTCAATGCTGATAAAACGGACTGACTCAAACCTTCCCCACATTGATGACCTGTTCACACAGAGACCTACAGATTGTTAGCAACTGGTGCTTACAATTCAAATTGATTTCATTGTAAAAATAATCAATTATGGGACAAACCAAAACGCTCATTTTATTCCACCTTCTTCCATGTTAATCCCTTCATGGGTTGTGGGGTAGCTGTAGGAGAGCCGATGGTCAATAAGGTGAAGGCGGGCTAAACCCTGGACAAGTGATCAGTCCATCGCCATGGACTCACAGGAGACAAACGACCATAATCTGCATTTCTTTGGACTGTGGGAGTTAGCCGTAGCATCTGTAGGAAACACAGACATCCACGACCAGGACATGAATTAATTCCATACAGAATGATGGAGATTGATGTAGAGAATGCATTCTTCTTGCTGTAAAGACAGAATACAAAATATTCTAAGTTTACTCCACGAGAAAATGAGTCTGCAAAGAATATCTGTTTTAAAAACAAATAAACGAACAAAACAAAAACAGCTAGGAACCCTGGGGACATATTAGGGCAATTTAATTGGGCAGTACTAAGAGAAGTTATGTTTTAAATAGACTTTAGTTTGGGAGGGCTAAGGATCCATCTTACTATTTGGGACATTTATGGTCTCAAATGTCACAAGGTTAATCACTTGAATCATTTTCTATATTTAGCTCAAAAGGCAATAAAATCCCATCAAACCCAATACAAATAATCACTCTACTACTTTTATCACCAGTGTAAAAATGACATTGGTGTTTTTGTTTGTTTTGTTCAACTTGATTTTAAAGGAATCATGACCTTCTGTCAGTCTCTCCTCTGCCACCCGGCTCTAAGCTTTTCCCCGACTCTCTTCCTCTCTTGTCACTCTCCTCTGATCCATCATTTCCTCTTCTTCTCCCCTTTATCTCTCCACAGTTTCAGAAACCACATGAGCACTATCCACCTTTCCGCTTTGGGACAGTCCCCAATGGAAGCACCGAAAGGAATATTCGCAGCAACTATCCTGACATGCACACACACATGACCAAGTACAACCAGAAGGGAGTGGAGGAAGCCTTAGAAAGCTTAAAAAATGGGTACAGTGTGACTGGAATTTTCACTTCTCATCACACTCAAAAAGTTATTTCTGCTGAACTTCTCCCTGAAGGTGTTATGTGTGACATTGAACACAATCTGGATTTGTGTTACACAGCGCAAATGTTCTATTTTTTAACATGTAGTCTCTTTTAATAGAAACAAAATCAGTGCAAAAAATGAAAGAACTAAAAAATGAAGCAGAATGTTCACAGTTGGCAGACTAGGCAAACCTGACTGGGACAACCTTTAATGAGCCTCACACTGAAGTTAAGAAAACAGCAAATACTCAGACTGTTTTAAGAGGTTTGTAGTGTGAAAGAACACAACAGATGTTGTCTTTGTTTCATGTAAAAACCAGGCTGCAATGTGGCTGTGTTGGTTTTTTCAACCACAGATAATTTAGCAGTAAATGTAATTAAAAAACATGAACTGGGACGGTAAACCTCACGACAGTAATTGTTATTATTATTTTATTATTATGTTAAAATATAAAACATTTTCTTGAGACAAGATCCAGATTGACCTTGAAAAGTGAATGTTCCTGTCCTATTTAACTCTCACTCTGATGCCTGAAACAATGCATTATTAATCTGAAAGAAATGTTAGTTCCCTGGTTTCTGGGTTTTTTTTGTTCTCCACCATTCTTTGAAATAGAAGAACTG